CCTCAAGGTTTTACTACCATTCTAAAAGATTGGGGTTGATCTGATGACGCCATATTCTCACTATCACCTTTCACCACCAGGCCTGTCAACAATCTACTTGGCTGTGTGTCAAAAGCATTTGACAGTACTTTGCAATTATTTGGCACCTTGAAAATCATCACCCTCAGGATGTTAATACATTATATCAACAACTAGAAACTGAACTGGACCAGCCATATAAGTACCTAAAGCAAGTTCCATCCAAGCTCGTCGCCGTCTTCACTTAGAACTATGTCATTGGGTCAAAATCCTGGAACAGTACCAAGAGTGTACCCACAATGTGGACTACAGTGGTTGAAGGCTTGCCACCATTTTCTCAGGCCCTGTATGGGATGGCAATAAATACTGGACTGGCCAGCGGTGTCCACATTACGTGAATGAATAAAAAGAAACCCCAAGGCACTTCACAGTTGTGTTGTCAAACGATATGTGACTTGGAACCGCACATAGAGGTATTAGTGACCAGAGTTTTAGTTATGGAATTCCTTTTTAAAGAGTGTTTTAAAGGCGAGGAGAGAAGCAGAGAAGTGGATTCATTTGGGGATTCTAGAGCTCAGAGCGTAGACAGCTTACCTAATGATATTTGCTAGTTCTGCATCACTGGGTCCCTCCTACTCACTTTAGCACAAAATCTTATGGATTACACTACTTCCCACTTGGTGAGGATGGATCAAGTGGGAAGATATTGAACTTCTTCATTCGTAAATGTAGCATTTAATTGAGCCAGGTTGGTTATGGAGCTGGAGAAAGGGTGAGTCAGGCCCAGTAGCAGGCAGAGTGTTGGATCGCGGGGAGGGGGTGCTGTGTGGTCTAAGGGGATGTCGGTTCGGGGTCTGGAGGGTGTAAAATGTCTGGGTGATTAATTTTTGGGTATCTGTGAGGTAAGTTAGTTTAATAGTTACTCAAGAGTTAGATGAGGACAGACTTTTCCTCAGTAATTATTTGCTTCCCTTCAGTGGAACCCTCCAAATGATACTTTCAAAGAGTTCCAAGTGTCAGGCAAACTACTGAGGCAAGTCTTCAGTATCCTGGGAATTCTTTCAGACTCTACAATGGAGATTTTGCAGGGTCCTGTCAGCAACGTTCAACCGCAATCTATAATCCATGAGGAATAGGAGCAAGAGTGGGTCATTCAGCCCTTCAAGCTTGCCTCACAGTTCTATAAGATCATGGCTGATCTACCCCAAGCCTCGATTTCTGTTCAGTCCTAGCTCCTTATCGCCCTCAACTCACTGATGTTTCACAAATCCACCTCCCTTTTCTTCAAATACTTTGATTGATCTAGGCTCCGCAATCATCCAGAGTAGAGAATTCCAGAAATTCGCTACCCTTTGGGAGAAGAAATTCCTTTGCATCTCAGATTGAAATCAATGTCCCCTTCTTCTGTAACAGTGTCCCCGGTTTAAGATTTTCCCATTTGTGGAAAAATGTCTTGACGTTCGAGGTTTTATAATGTAAGCTATAAAAATATTATAGATTGTATGAAGTGTTGGGAAGTCAACTTTATTGTTATTTGTCCCAATCTGTGGAAATTTTCGACTTTATTTTCTTACTAATTCCCCAGAGATCTCACACTTGGTCTACTTTTTTTAAAAAAATGGTTTCTGACTCCCTGCCAGATTCTAACATAAATTTGCAGGCTATTCTTGAACTGGAACAACTGGTGAAAAGCGACTTGGAGATTAAGTTTAATCTCCTTGCTTCTTTTGCAATTTGGCTCTTAAGCATATTTTTCTGACTTTTTTGATGCAGGAGACACTGATGTTCAAGTATTTAGTCAGGATTTATACAAAAAAAAAGCAGGTTGCTGTTCCTGAAAGGTTTTAGCTTGCAGAAAATTACAAATCAGGAGGGAACCAAGGCAGATAATTTCCAAAAAAAAACCCAAGCACTGCAAATGCTGGCAATTTGAAACAAAAGCAGAAATTGCTGGAGAAGCTTCTTCTGTTCTAAAGAAGGGCCACTGGACCTGAAACATTAACTCTGCTTTCTATTCACAGATGTTGCCAGACCTACTGAGTTTCTTCAGCAATTTCTGTTTTTGAGTCGCAACACATTCCTGGCTGATCTTCTGCTCTCAACCCTCTTCAAACTTCAGGTCGTTTGAAAAGTCTAAAATTTCTACCTCCATCTTAACTTACAGTAATTCCCCTTCCTGTGTCATCCCTGTAGGGATATGGGCAATGAGCAGGAGATCGGCATTAGGTCATGGTACTCTTTTGAAGAGTTGGTACAGACATAATGGGCCAAATGGCCTTCTGTGCTATAATATGCCTGTGATTCTATGGTGTGCTTGCTGACCTGCTCTGTTGACCAGGGAGGCAGCATCTTGCTTTTAAAATTGTCACCCTTGCTTTCAAATCTCTCCCTGGCCTGACCTTTTGAACAATTATGAGGGGAATTGAGACCATAGTCAGATCAGCCACGATGTCATTGAACTGTGGATCAAGCTTGAGTAGCTAAAAGGCAAATTCCTGTTCCTTTGATTCAAGCTTTGTAATCTCTCCCAACCCATCAGCCCTCTCGAGATATCAGTGCTGCTGTTCGCCCGGCCTCTTCTGTATTCTGTATCCTTAATGATAATTGTTTACTCTAGGTGAGCCTTCAGTTGACTGGGGACTAAATGCTAGTATTCCTTCCTTGTATTTCATTGCCTCTTTTCGCTTTCCTCATTTAAGACACTTGTCAAAATAGACCTCTTTGACCAAGATTTTGGTCATCTAACTTCATATCTTCTCGTGTTGGTTGTTCTCATCATTGGTTTTATAATGCTCGTGTGAGTTCTCCTTGACATCAGCTTGATTAGGTTACAGGTGCTAAGTAAAAAGGAAGTCACTTTTGCTACTATTTTCTTACCATTCCTCCCCTTTTCCAACTTCTTCAATTGGTTACAACCTGATAAAAAGATCACTGACAAGAAACACACACTCTTGCTTCTCTCTGCATATCCTGCCTGACCTGCTGAATAGAATCAGCGTTTTCTGCTTTTGTTTCCTGCATTTTCAGGGGTTTACTTTGCTTTAGATGACTGAACTAGTCAGAAAATTTGGAACAGGCAGCATCAGAGGAATAGGAATGTTGACGTTTTGGGTCAGGACCCTTCTTCAGAAGTGCAGAGGGGGAAGGGAGCTGGGAAATAAATAGAGAGGAGGGGTGGGGCTGGGGAAGGTAGGTGGGATGGTGATAAGTGAGTGATGGGGATTGCTCAGTGGGATGCGTGGGGCGGATAGGTGGGAGAGAAGATGGACAGGTTGCGTCAGGTCAAGGAGGCGAGAATGAGAGGGAGGGTTAGACATGGGTTGAGGCCAGGAGTGGGAGATTTTAAAACTGGTGAATTGCATGCTTAGGCCATCAGGCTGTAGGCTCCCAAGGTGAAATATGAAGTGTTACTCTTCCAGTTTGTGTGTGGTATCATTGTGGCACTAAAGGAGGATGGACGTCAACCAGAGAGTGGGAGAGGGAGTTAAAATGATTGGAGACCGGAAAGTTTTGTCATTTGTCGCGTACAGTCACAGATGCTCTACAAAATGGTCTCTGAGTCTGATCACTGTAGAGAAGGCCACATCAGGAGCAGCGGATACAGTAGACCAGGTTGGAGGATGTACAGGTGACCCCCTGTCAGATGTCAAAGGGTTGTTTTGGGCCTTGAATGGAGGTGAGGGGGGAGGTGTAGGCGCAGCTGTAGCACTTCCTGTGGTGTGGAGCGGTCGTGGGAGTCGCGGAGAGAGCAATCCCTATGAAAAGCAGATAGGGGTGGGGAGGGAAATATCTCTTTGGTGGTGGGGTCGGATTGTAGGTGGTGGAAGTGGCGGAGAATGATACGTTGGATGTGGGGTGATATGTGAGGACAAGGGGGATTCTGTCTTTATTTTTGTTGGGGGAGGGGGACTGAGGGCAGAAGTGCGGGAAATGCAAGTGGTGCGATTGAGGGCATTTTCGATCACTGGAGGGGGAAGTTGCGGTCCTGGAAAGAGGAGGACATCTGGGATGTGCGGGAGTGGAATGCCCTATCTTGGGAGCAGGTAGGGTGGAGGCAGAGGAATTGGGAGTATGGAACCGCATTCTTGCAGGAGGGTGGGTGAGAGGAGGTGTTGTCCAGTTAGCTGTGGGAGTCGGTGGGCTCACTGACCAGTCCCCACCACTCCCTACCTGCACCCACCTATCACCATCCCACTTACCTCCCCCAGTCCCACCCCTCCTCTCTTTATTTATTTCCCAGCTCCCTTATCCCTCCCCATTTCTGAAGAAGGGTCCCAACCCGAAACATCAACTTTTATGCTCCCCTGATGCTGCCTGGCCTGCTGTGTTCCTCCAGCTCCACACTGCGTTATCTCTGACTCCAGCATCTGCAGTTCTTGCTGTCTCTGAAATAATTCGGAAAGTTGCCATTCCTTTGCCTGTTGCTGGCCTGTTTAAAATGTATAATCAAGTTATTGACTTGTTCCGATGAGAGAGACATGTCCGTGATGTAAGAATGGTTTGAGCTGAGAGTTGGCAGTGCTGCTGGCTGTTTATTTCTCCTCATGCCGTCAACCCAAAGCACTGAATCCTTCGTCAATTCAACCAGGGACTGGCCATTTGGATAAAAAAAAAGAGCTGGCACCATCGCATCTCACATTTGCCCTGATTCACCACAGTGGCAAACAGGGTTTCAGGTGCACTCATTGCTATCTTGAGGATGCCCAATTTGGTAATGCAAGACAGTCAGGAGGTGAATGATAGTTTCAAATTGCTCTTGTTGCTCATGTTTGAGGAAGAAATATAGATAAAGTAAAGACAATCACAGTCCATCTATCAGGCTAAGCATTTTCAGAATCGAGAAGCTCATAAGTGGAGTCACAGATCTTTGACGGTATTAAAAATCCAGTCTTGGTGAGAAATTGTCAATATGTCAAAGTACCTCATTTGTGACAACGCTGGAGGACTTATTGTGACGATGTTTCTGTCCATTTGTTTCCCAGGTGGTTTTGCTATTGTGTTCCTAGTGAAGACTCATAATGGGGTTAAAAGTGCACTGAAGAGGATGTATGTCAATAATGAACACGATCTGCAGGTCTGCAAGCGAGAGATCCAGATCATGGTGAGTTGCAAACATTATGGCTTGGTGAACCCAACCTTTATAAATGGCTGCCTGCGCTTCACATTTTCAATCCAAGGGGAGAGGCTGGATTTGAGTCGGGGCAGGCAACTATAGAAGGACTGTGGAGGTAACCGGGTGCACAGGGTGGCTGGTTGAAAGACCTGCCATGGAGATCAGGCTGTGTCCAACGTATGAAAGTATAGAACAAAAATTGAAACCATTCTGCACCCATGCATGCACCCACCCACTGTACTCTATCAGTGCCACTTGGTGCTATTTAACTCATCCCAAACGCCTTTAGTAGCCTTGTGTCAACTTAACTCTGACCTGCGTCCCTCTGCTCTTGCGTCCACTATCGAAATAAACCTTGTCTCCACCATAGGAGACATGGGAATTGGTATCTCTCATGCAGCAATCTGTTCATAGAAATCATCAGCTTTTATCGACAGACCAAGGAAAAAAACAAGTAATTTTTTTTAGCATTCCAGATTTTCTTCCAAAAATTTCAAGGGAAGCATTTTTAAATGCCTTAACATTTTTGAAAGCTCCCTTTGATGGGTGCTCATGAAAGGCTTTGACAGCTGATTTTGATGGTTCTGTTGAGACCTTCCAATGACCTTGGCACGAATGAGTTCATGCTTTTTTTTGCACGCATTTGTGCCAACCTTTAACAATCCCATGAAACATGTCTATAGTTTGCCATTCGCCCTGTCTCTCCTTCTCAACTGGTGATGTTTCATCTGCAAGTTTACAGCCTGCAGGCATCTTTCTAGAAACTTAGCTTCTTTCCAACCACTTTCCTTAAAACTCTGGGATGCAACTTATCTCGTTCAGGAGATTTATCAACCTTCAGTCTAGCTGAACTTCCAAGAATTCTCTCCTTGCTAGTACTCGTTTCTTTCTCTTGCTCAGTTTTACAAGTTCTTCATGTTTCTGGTTGGTTTTTCAGCTTCATTCCTGCATGAAGACGATCCCAAAGTAACTGTTTAGCTTTGCCACCATTTCTGTATTCGCCATGTAAATTCTTCTGTCTCCACTTTAATGGTCCCACATTTGTCCTAGCTTGTCTTTTCCTTTTTACATCACAAAAGATGCTTTTACACGCTGCCTTTATATCTTTTGCTACCTTGCATTCATATTCAATTTTCCCTTTCGTTATCAGTTTTTTGGTCATTCTTGGCTATGTTTTAGCTTGCTGTCAATCCTCAGGCTTGCTGCCTTTTCTGGCATCCTTGTAAGCCTTTTCCTTTGATCTCACATAGTTTTGAATTGTTTTTGTTTGAAAAGGTAAATCAACCGTGGCAATTAGATGTTCATGTCTCACAAGAATGTGTATCTGTTGCAGACCATTTCGTACTTTTAATGCCAACGATTGCCAATCTAGAGATAAAGTCACCTTAGTCCCAGAAGACGATAGGGCTGCTGTGTCGTTAGAGTGAGATGACTGGTGGTGATTTAACCAGAGGATCACCATGCCTCAGACAAGAGGCGAGTTTGGGAAGTTCAGACCTTCGTGGTAACCTCAGCCAGAGTGGGAATTGAACATGTGCTTTTGGTGTCATTTTGCATTTCAAACTAGCTGGCCTGCCAACTGAACTACCCAATCCCCTGGCCATATTTTGTCGACTTCTGTGTGTGCTGTCATGTTGCTGCCCTGGCCTTGCTTGACAGATGCCCCCCCACCCAGAACTTTGCAGCTGGTTGGAGGAATCTCTGTTGTTCTCTGGGGTAGCAGCCTGACCATACAAGACGAAGAATAAGCTTCAAGTGAAGTCAATTGATTACAAAATTAATACATTATTAAAGGAAAAAAAATTACAGGGTAACTTGATGTCTAGTCAAGTTTTAGATAAAATAAATGTTGTTTTCTATATTATGGTTTGCAGCTTGTCTGGCAGAAAATATTTGAGAAGAATATTGGGAACCATTGCCCTGTGCTTCTGCACCACCAAAGGAAATGGATGTTCTTGACCTTTGTTGTCCACTTACTTTTTGTCCTCTCCTCTTCTGAAGATACTGACTCCTGCTCAGATACTGCTGTTCCAGCAACAACTCTTTGTTGTGTTGACCAATGGTGCAGTTCTCTCATAAGTCGACACAGACATTGAAAGTTAGCAGACTGTGCAGCTTACAGGGTGCACCATAACCAAGCCATGTGCAGTTTTTATTGAAGCTGACTCATTCTTGCTTTTTACCAGGAAGTTGTTGATGGCATTTAGCCATAGGCATCATGGCTCATTCCTACTCTTCCCCGACATCATGAACCCAGAGCTAATGCAGTCAGTTCTTGTAGCCCTTCTGCTGAGTTTGTTGATATCAGTGCATATGATACTTTGTGTCATAGAATCACTTCTTTGCAAATTGTTATTTAGACAGCAATATGATGCCAATAAAAACAAATGATGACCCACTTGTGTCCAAACTTTCTCTTTGTCGCAGAGGGACCTGGCAGGGCACAAGAATATTGTCGGATATATCGATTCTAGTACAACAGCTGTCGGCTCCGGAGAGGTCTGGGAAGTGCTGATCCTGATGGATTTTTGTCGAGGTGAGGACTTTTATCCCATTACCTAATGGTGCCTGCAATAATGCAGTGTTTGTGTGTCTTTATTTGTTGTCGGGTTGGGAATAAATGTCAAAGCCCTTTGTTTTAAATCCTTCATGGCACCTTAGTGTGTGTGTGGGGAATAAGCCTTCAGTGCTGAGGTATGAAAGCTATAGGGACTGATGGGCTTCGTTGCATGATTACCATGTTAGTTTACCAGCACACAGCTCATACGAAAGTTGTGAAACGTGTAGCAGCATTATTTTTCTCTTTACAGAGAGGAAAAATTCCATTTTAGTTATAAGTTGGTTGTTCACACAAAGTCCTGATTTGTTATGATTTGGTAAAACCTGCCTAATTGACCAAGCTCTTGTTGATCTGACGTAATGTTTCCATAAGTCTCATATTCTGTTTCATGAAATTGCTGTGCCACACCATCGGACTTGTCATTATTTTAAAGGCATCAAATAAGTGTCAGAGATAGTAGGAACTGCCGATGCTGGAGAATCTGAGATAACAAGGTG